CTTTTCACCTTAACAGGAGCTGAACTTTTCTAGTCAATGCTATTGCTCTGGTGATCAAAAATAAAATACATACTTCCAAGAAACAAGACTGCATCCTTAACAAAAGAAAAATGTTGAATTTAATCAAAAAAGGAGGCCCATTCATAAAGTGAACAACAGCTTCTATTTTTTTTTAACATACCTTCACAAAGTAGAATTTAGGCATTTCAGCATATGATTCCAAAACCCTTGAAACAAACTTCTTCCATATTGGATAAATGTCACCCTTTCCACACACAGTTGAGCCAAGCAAAGCAGGGTTCTTCAATAGTTCATATTTAAGAACACTAAATACATTTTTAAGTTGCATGTTGAAGTGTTGAGCCTAAGAAAGAATCAAAGAAAAACAATTTCAACAATATTAAGTGCTTCTCTCATGGCAAAACATGAGAGCATAAATTATTCAATGTTAGAAAAGAAGGAAAGAGGCTTCAAGAAGCTTCCTTAATGAGTTGCTGGAAAGGGCGCAGGAAGAAAGAAAAAAATAGTTGCAAGCATGTAATTAAGGAAGCAAATGCGATGGGTGCATATGTAAGTACATGAAGAAACTGAGGTCTGTGTGAAACTGGGTCACAAGAAATCACTCTTAACTAATACAACAATGAACCTACTTTTGAAAAATAAAAAGATGATTTATTTTTCAGGGACATTTATTAAACATTTCCTGCATGAAGAGGTATACACTGATGGTATTTGGATATGCTCTACTGAAAGGTGTTTCAGCAGCACTTGGCTAAGCTTGTCTAGGGGTGTAAGCTAAGCAGGGCTGGTCTAGTTAGTAGCTGGATAAAAGTAATCCATGGACTCCATACCAAATCTGTAGGCGAGATTAGAAAATTAAAAGAAAAAACCTCTTAGAAAGGATTGTTGGCAAACTACTTCTGTATTTGGGGAGTGGGGGATTTATTAAAGAATTCCTAAGGAGTGGCTTGCTGAAGTAATTACATTGTATTACTTCAGAAAAAAAGGTTAAAGCAAACCTGAAGAACAAAATCATCAAAATAACTCCATCTTGACTTTGCTTCATATAAGATTGGAGAGTAAGAAACTTGGACAGGTTTTTCAAGATTTTATTACAACACCATAAACCAATAACATAAAATTTCTACAACATTAAAATAGGAAAGTTTGCAATGTCTTTTTTGGCCTGTGCTGTTTAAAAGCTGAGAACAAGGAAGAGGTTTACAGAACCAAATAGTTAATTCATGTGCTGGACTGAAATGTATGGATCTATGCTATAATAGACAGATTGACAAAATGTATCAAACTATTATCTTTATCTGCTTTTGTTCGCATATATGAATAAACCCATCACCAGTAGGCTATGAAAGTATATCTAGTTAGGAAACTGAGGGAAGAAAAGTGAGTGTCAGTTTTCCCATATGTTGATTGGCTGCCTGCCTAAAAGGCATAATAGCAAAAACCTGATACAATACATTCATGACGAGAGAATTCTGAGGAACATAAGCAGGAAGACTTTAAGCTAACTTCTGCAGATAAAAGCAAGTCTAAACATAAAATATTCAGATTTACATACAAAAATTGAGAATGCAAATACATTTAAGCCTGAACTATTGGAATAGCATGGTGAAACATCATCTGCCTTTTCTATTATCTCTGGAATGAGAATGCTGTCCATAAGCCCTGTTCAAGGTCCCTTTGGATCCTTGCAACCTTTTTGCAAAACAGTTATGACAAAATTGACATGCTTACTCTAAACTTGATGCCTCTTATTCAGAACCATTGAGATGACTAGGGTGATGCTCTGCTAGGTTATCTGAGATTGGTTTGAATCTGTGGACACCAAAGAAGCAGATAAGGTTATATGCAATATGGAATCTGTCACATGCAAGCTGAAATCGTGCCTTTCCTAACTTATATTATTTACCATAGTATCTCCTAAGCCAGGGGTCCCCAACTGCCGGGCTGCTCGCATGGAACCATCCCCTCTCCCTCCCCTGCCGGTCTGCAAAGGTTGGGGAACTCTGTCCTATGCTACTTACAAGGGTTAGGGATTAGGGACACGGTTTTATAGTGGTTCTTCTCCTTAAGTGGTCTGTGCTGGTTGACAGTGATAGGGGAACTCTGGATGTTGATATGGGGTGCCCCTAAGCTTGATCCTCTTCCTATTCTGTTTAATATCTATCTGAAATCACTAGAAGACATCATTAGACAGTTTAGAGTAGATGCTGATGATCCTGAATTGTTCCTTTCAATCTTAGCAAAACAGAAGATGCTTCCCTGTGATCTGGAAGTCTTCTTAGACTTTCTGTTGGAACAGCAGGTCCAACTGCAACTGTTCTTGGAATCAGATGATTTGGCTTGTCATTTTTGGATCATAACCTGTTGGTGGGTTGCTGCTTTGCATTTTACTGATTAGATGTAACAACATTATTCTTTTGAATTATTTAATGGGCTTGATTTAAATTATTTAATGCCATTTAAGTGTTATATGGTTGGGCAAGTACAGAATGAGTGTCAAATTAATAAATTCTTTACCTCATAAAAATTAAGGATGAGTAGCGGTGAACATACCTCTTGGATTTCAGAAAAAACCTCATTTTAATAAATGAATGAAGTTACAAAGAATCTGAGGGCAAGATAAATGAATGAAGAAAGAAGTCCAAGATGTGTAAACTCAATTGCATGAAAAGGATAAAAAAGGGAACACAAGGTTCCTCAAGACAAGTAAAGCCAAGGACTTGGATCTCTAAGCAGCACAAGAAAAGCTAGAAGTTGCCAAGTGAAATTGACAAACAATGCAAGGACCAAGTTGGGCTTAAAGGAAAAACAAGGGGAAGGAAACAGGCATCTCAGTCGAGATGACAAAATGTTACTAAATTGTCAGCTCCCCAGTGCAATCATTCAAAAGTAGGATTGGGGCAGATAAGGGTTTCATTTCAAAACTGAGAAGCATTGTATAAGAAATATGTTATCTTAAGGGAAGGCTGGATGAATTGTATTTCAAATGCCAAAAGTATTTTCAGAGATACGCTAACCTTTCAGTTGCCCTATTTTTTCAGTTAGTACATTGCCAACATTCTGGATAGATTTCAAATCAAGTGGCTTAATAATTGATTGAAAAGTGTACACAAGGAATGCTCACTCCTAACTCCTTATTACAGAGAAGATTTTAATAGGAATACTGATTTGATTTGGCTCAGATAAGAGAAGCATATTTTTTATCAAACATAGACATGAAATTGGTGAAGTAAAGAATAATATTCAAATTTATCTTGCTGGAAAAGACACTGGGCTGAAATTTAAAGGAATTATTCAATAAAGAAAAATATTAAATTCAGCATTTAAGCAAAGCAATAAAAGCTACATAGAAAAGAAATGCACAGAAAATGTATATAAAAAGGATGCTTGGATTCTTCTTGATCATAAGGGGATGTAAATCAGCAACCTGAGGATTCTGCTACAAAATAAAATAAAAAACCTGCAATTATCAGTTGTATTAAAAGAAGTATACTTAACACAAAGTAATAGTTTGATATTTTATAAAAACAAGATCCCAACAAGAACACTGTGTTCAATTCTGGATACTATAATTTGAAGAGGTAAACAAATTGGAACAGATTTAGAGAAGAGAAATCAATCAAAGTGTACAAAACCCACATCTCAGGCCCGTCCCCCAAATACATGAATTTGGTTGATGCAATGTTGAATTAACTCAATAAATTAAGGACCTTTTTGTCTCCACTGTTGCGGCAGAATGTTTCTGCTCCTACCACACCATTCAGCTTGACCACAGGCCTCAACCCATTTGGTTTGGGGATGAATCGGAGTTTTGATGCCAGAGGAACATACTTTCTCTGCTGCAAATTTTCAATTTCTTCCTTACATAAAAGCCGAAGCTGCACTTTGGCCAGATGGCTCCTAAAATGGAAGTTGGCAGTACTTTAAAATGTACACACAGCAGACTGTCATTTAGAGACCACTCTACCTCAAAGCGACTCTAGGTGATTTACACTAAAAACAGCACAGTACAAGAAAATAGAATTCTATCCTTAAATGACATCTAAATTTCCTGTTTATTTTAAGGTATAATTTTCTAACTACTACATTGTCGTCCAATAAAAAGTTCCGGAAAGTGGCACCATCTGGCCAATCTCCTCAGGTCTTAGAATACAGTCAGTCTCAAGCCTGGTTAATACATGTATCAGTTAGGCTTAATTGGAAAGGGAAAAAATAACCCAAAAGAAGGAAATGGCAGAATGTTGCCAAGGAAACTAAGTGGAGATGTCTATAATCATCTGAAATCAAGTTCTGACTTCAAGGCAATTTCACATTTACATTGCACAAGAAATGTGGAAATCCAACTCCACAAAAATGCACGATACTGTTCATATGGCTCTGGAAACCAATTCAGATGAAGAGAATTACAATATGAGGAAAATTCCTCTGACGGAGGAGGGGGGGAGGGAGAGGAGCCCTAATGGCATAAGATCCTTCCCACCACCTCTAATAGGTTACAATGACTGAACACAGCTGGGAGGTATATGACTAGCAAAAGTAGCTTTTCCCTTCATGGATCCAAAGCTTCTGGCGGCATTTGTTCAAAGCACCTGCAGATGAGCTGAACCTCCTCTGCTTTCTAATCCCAAATTAGACATGTTGTCTAAGATGTGAAGACTACCTTCAAGTCAGAATTAACAATGGAACAGCAACTGTCCAGTTTCAGAGCCAAGACATCCAAGCATAGGAAAAAGTAGGGATAAAGAATCAGATTTAATCTCTTACCTGCTTGGGTGCTTTAGATGACATCGCATATGAGGAAGGAAGGGCAGTTTAAGCTTTGAAAAAATACCCAAACCAACAACAAAACTCCATTCTAGCCTTGGACAGGGCTCCTTTGCCCATGAGGGAGACACGAGGACTGTCAGATCTGTACAGAGAGTCAGTTTATGCAGTACAGAGGTAGGCTTCCTATTTCCTACCTTGCCCAGCACAGGCACCTTTAGCAGTCCAGCATCCCCCCACCCTGAAGGAAGCAGGACGCAACTACAGCATTGCCACCATTTGCAAGATACGGTAGATGGGCTGACCTGATGGCCTAGATTAGATCTGTAGAATCCCCCACCCTTAGCATAAAGGGAACCCATAGCTTTCTTTGCATTTTTGAGCTTCTGGTTTCCTAATACCTGATTCCAATGTTCTGTAATTTGCTCCAAATAGACTTTCGGAAGAAAAAAAGTAAATTTTTTTGAAATGCTGTCTCCGTGATATAGAAGAAAGATCGAAGGAGCTCTGAAACATAACAATCCATCAGCCAGTACAGGAATTTAGACATCAGCTCTTCCCGAAAACGATGTTCAGAGGCAGGAACAGAATGGCCACTTTCTATAAGCAGAATCCAGATTTAGTGACAATAAGATTTCTGTTCTTGCAAGAAGCATCTATTCACATTATCTCCACAACCAAGATATAGGTTAAAGGTTAAAAATTAGATCTGACAGATAAAATGATGCAAACCATTAAGTAATGACTGTGAAATGTCTAAAGCAGGGCTTTTCAACCTTTTCACCCATTATACCACTTTTAGGATATGGCAATATCCGAGTACCACCAGTCGCCTAGCAAGGTGTCAAAAACTTGATGACCAAAAAAAGGAAAAAAGTGATGAAGTACAGGTAGTCCTCGACTTACAACAGTTCACTTAATGACTGTTCAAAGTTACAATGGCATTGAAAAAAGTGCCTCCCAAGCCACAGCCGAGCAAGACACCTGCCTGCCAGCCCGGCGGCGCTCTTCCTCCTGTCTGAGGTTTTCATTGTTGTGAGCATTTCTATTGAGGATTGGCAGCAGGGGTGGGGTGGGGGTGTTTGGTTTTTATTCCCCCCCCCCTCTGCTGGGTGGTTGCAGCAGGTTTTGGTCACTTCACATGACCCTGGGACGCTGTGACCGTCATAAATATGAATCAGTTGCCAAGCATCTGAATGTAAATCACAAGACCCTGGAGATGCTGCAACATTTCAGCTGATCGGCGCTTCTTCTGGGCTCAGAAGCGCCAGGATTAGCGCCGAGCTCCAGCTGGAGCCTGGCGCTGATCCTGGCGCTTCCACTGAGCCCAGACAGTCCCGAAGAAGTGCCGATCCTGGCGCTTCCACTGAGCCCAGACAGTCCCGAAGAAGTGCCGATCCTGGCGCTTCCACTGAGCCCTGACAGCCCTGCAGCTCCAGCCATCTCTCGCTCAGGCTTGTGCAGTCCTGCCACCGGTTCAGCTCATTCTCCTCCCCTGCTACCACTTTTCTAGGATGCTCGCGTACCACCTGCCAGGTGCCAATGTACCACAGGTGGAACCCGTACCACTGGTTGAAAAGCCCTGGTCTAAAGCAAATGTTTTTGCAGTGTAACAATGCTGCATTATAAATCAGAGATGTTAACTGTATGTACATTTCTCTCCAATGCATGCACGAAATCTTATAGTAGGAACATCAACTTCTTCTGCCAAAGAGATCAGAGTCTGAAAAACGAGCTGCCTTTTCAAACAAGCAAGCAGTCTAATAAAATGTCTCTTATTTACAAGGCTACTTTACTTGTATAATTGAGAACATGAAAATGACATTTGAAGAGATTTTCAAAAATAAAAGCATTTTCTGAGGATATCGCTGTTAGTACCTTTGGTGAGACGAAGCCAAGCACAATCACTCACTCTCATTTTCCATGTCAATTCCTCCAAAGAAAACATGACAAACTTCCCCAGGGAGATAAACTTCTTCACATTTCTGTAGAAGCGGCACTTGTTGTGGTTTGAACCCCAAAGTGCAGGAGGCACCACTCTCTCTAAGCATTCCCTCACAAAAGTATACACTTGCCAGTGGCTGCTATACTGCTTCAGCAACACGATGAAGTCAGAACTGGAGGAATCTCGGACCTGTTCCTTAGCCTTTTTTTCAAATAATTCAGTTCTTTCAGAGCTTCTGCTTGAAGCATCCGTTTCTGAAAATAGGTTCAAGGCATCTGACCTGCTTGCGATGGAACCTTCTACTGGATTGTCCTGCTGCCTCCTTGATGAAATTTGCTCTACTTGGTGACCATTTTGTTTGAAACTCTGCTCCCCTAGGCTTATCTTATCTGGTTCAGAAACCGAAACGGGACAATTCCTTTTTAATATTGCTTGATAAGGACACTTTGAATGGTTCTGTAAGAGTTCTTGGAAGACACTTCTCATCTGCCAATAGCGTTTTGGAAGCCTCTTCTTTTTCTTGGGACCACTTTGAAAGCCAGAACTACTAGACTGCTTCAGAATCTTACTGCCAAAGAATACTTGTTCTACTAAACATCGTCCTCCTGCTGGATGGCCCTTCAAGTGATTTAATACGAATGATTTAGGTAAACACTCTTTCAAACGCTGGTAGGAATATAAGAGAGAACGTCTCTCGATATGCACTACAGGAATACTAAATCTGTCAGGCTTCCTGACAGATTTAGATGAGCAAATTTCAAGGTCTTTTTCTGGCAGGACTTTTTTTGCAGGCCCCGTCCGCACAGAACCAACACCAGAGATTCTAGTTACCAGCTTTGGCAGCTTAGCATTACGTGTTGGTTGTAGATTGGATTCACAAAATGTTTTAGTTATACTGTCTTGCTTTTCACACACCAAAGCCCCTTGATTGTCATTAGTTGCACTAGGTACCCCAGACATTTGTAGTCCACCACTCTGAGGAACAGAGTTCATAAGAGTTAATCCTTTTGAACACGATTGTATACATGCCACAGAAGCCTCAGGTTCATCACAATCTAAAATCAACTGATTTGGGTTTTTTATAGAATCAGGGTTTCTTGTTTCTTTTTCTACATTGTCCTCCTTTATCACAATTTTTATTTTCTTGGCACTAATATCACATTGGCCTGTCCTCTTCCTTTTTAAATGCTGTGTTCTTAAAGATGGGCTAAGAGGGGGGGTTTGTTGCTTTTTTATGTAGTCACCAGTTCTCATAATTTGCCTTTTCTTTGTAGGGTTTTGGCCAGAAGCACTTTGAGTTACTGAACATTGCCAATTGTGTTGTTGTTGTGTTTCATTCCATTTCTGCCTTTCAGAATTCCATTTTCTCCACTTTGTTTTTCTGGGATACCACGTAGAAGACTGAAACTTTTTATGGATATAATTTGTTAAGATACAAGGTGAATGCCCAGGAACCCTCTGCCTAAGAAACTTTGGAGGCCGTGTTGCATTTCTTGAAGGAAGCGCATAGATGGGCTCTCCACAAATTTGGTAACAGCAGCTAGGAGGCACAAGGATAAACAGAGCACAATGTTCTAATATATACATCATGATGTCATCCCCAACTCTGTTCAGAATGATCTCCCAGAGCACATTATATTGAATAGTTTCTGTCGAATTATTACGCATATAGCTACCAATATTTGGCATACAAGGCAACTGTTGATTATTTTCATTCAATAGGTTATAACCAAATGTCAACACATTTTTTTTCTTCTTTTGACAAATTCTCTGAATGATTCTTGTAATGACATCATCCTGACTGGAAACCTGCAAAATAGTAAAAAAAAGTATCTTCTAACAAAATTTTGAATAAATCACAAATGGCATTAATTACGTACAATTGAATAGAAATGCAAGGGGAAAAAATCCTACTTTATTCAACATACCAGTGGAGAGCTGGTATGTTGAATACCTACATGAGATGAAAAAATATTTCCACCAAATATCTTAATGAAAATCGACTTGAGCATTTCCTAATGCCTGCATATACAGCATTTTTTCACTTAAAGCAGGAAACAATATCTCAGTCAGATAAGGATTGCTATAGTGCTGAATGCTGACATGGCAATCTTGAATTCTACAAACATACAGTGAGGGGAAATAGTATTTGATCCCCTGTTGATTTTGTACATTTGCCCACTGACAAAGAAATGATCGGTCTATAATTGTAATGGTAGGTTTATTTTAAGAGTGAGAGACAGAATAACAACAACAAAAATCCAGAAAAACGCATTTCAAAAAAGTTATAAATTGATTTGCATTTTAATGAGTGAAATAAGGTGTCTTTTATACAGGTAATGAGCTGAGATTAGGAGCACTCTCTTAAAGGGAGCGCTCCTAATCTTAGTTTGTTACCTGTATAAAAGACACCTGTCCATAGAAGCAATCAGTCAATCAGATTCCAAACTCTCCACCATGGCCATGACCAAAGAGCTGTCCAACGATGTCAGGGACAAGACTGTAGACCTACACAAGGCTGGAATGGGCTGCAAGACTATTGCCAAGCAGCTTGGTGAGAAGGTGACAATAGTTGGTGCAATTATTCGCAAATGGAAGAAACACAAAATATCTGTCAATCTCCCTTGGTCTGGGGCTCCATGCAAGATCTCACCTTGTGGATCACCTCAATAACCATGAGAACAGTGAGGAATCAGCCCAGAACTACATGGGAGGATTTTGTCAATGATCCCAAGGCAGCTGGGACCATAGTCACACACACACAAAAAAAACCAATTGGTAACACACTACGCTGTGAAGGACTAAAATCCTGCAGCGCCCGCAAGATCCCTCTGTTCAAGAAAGCACAAGTGCAGGCCCATCTGAAGTTTGCCAATGAACATCTGAACAATTCAGAGAACTGGGTGAAAGTGTTGTGGTCAGATGAGACCAAAATCAAGCTCTTTAGCATCAACTTAACTCGCCGTGTTTGGAGGAGGAGGAATGCTGCCTATGACCCCAAGAACACCATCCCCACTGGCAAATATGGAGGTGGAAACATTATTATTTGGGGTTTTTTTTTCTGCTAAGGGGACAGGACAACTTCACTGCATCAAAGGGACGATGGATGGGGTCGTGTACTGTCAAATCTTGGATGAGAACCTCCTTCCCTCAGCCAGGACATTGAAAATGGGTCATGGATAGGTATTCCAACATGGCAATGACCCAAAACACATAGCTAAGGCAACAAAGGAGTGACTCAAGAAGAAGCATATTAAGGTCCTGGAGGGGCCTAGCCAGTCTCCAGACCTTAATCCCATGGAAAATCTATGGAGGGAACTGAAGGTTCGAGTCAGCCTCAAAACCTTAATGACTTGGAGAGGATCTGCAAAGAGGAGTGGGACAAAATCCCTCCTGGATGTGTGCAAATCTGGTAGCCAACTATAAGAAACGTCTGACCTCTGTGATTGTCAACAAGGGTTTTGCCACCAAGTACTAAGTCATGTTTTGCGAAGGGGTCAAATACTTATTTCATTCATTAAAATGCAAATCGATAACTTTTTTGAAATGTATTTTTCTGGATTTTTGTTGTTGTTATTCTGTCTCTCACTGTTAAAATAAACCTACCATTAAAATTATAGACTGATCATTTCTTTGTCAATGGACAAACTTACAAAATCTGCAGGGAATCAAATACTTTTTTCCCTCACTGTACACTGAAGTCTGTGGTAATTCTGGTAGCAAATAAAAACGGGCAAGAGCTCCTTAAAACATTTCTAGTCATAATTGTATCTAGAGTCTAGTAAAAACTCAGAATAGCTCATTTACACTAATCAAAATATAGGAATACAATACCTGCACAGATTTGTACCTATTGTCCATGACTGGAAAAACTAAGAAATTATAGGAAGCCAGTGTTCAACTAATGAAAAGAGGAGGGATCCTCAAGCTATTACCGCTCTCCTGTAAGGCTTTGAACCTCATTCCCAGAGATGTTCCATTTAAGACAGGGGTCTTCAAACTTGGTCCTTTTATGACTTGTGGACTTCCAACTCCCAGAATTCTTCAGGCAGGCATGCTGACTGAGGAATTCTGGGAGTTGAAGTCCACAAGTCATAAAAGGGCCAAGTTTGAAGACCCCTGATTTAAGATGTTGAACAAAAGAAAGATTAGCCATTACAGAGGCTCCCAATCACCAACTTTCCTAAAAGAAAAAAAGGAAATGCCATTGCTGCTCACTGATAAAAGGAACAGCATTGAAGAACCAAGGCAGGGCTTGGGGTGACTAAAAGAAACTAAGAAAGAAATAGGCAAGAATGCAACAAACCATCAAGTAGAAAACCATGCAGGAGAAAGGAGAAAGCCACACACCCCAATAACACTGGCAGGGCAAGCCTATTGTACTGTATATAAACAGAACAAACCACACACTCATTAAAACGGATGACATTATGTAGCTGGGTAAGGAAGCATCTGCAAGCAAATAACCAATCTCAGAGAATGCCAAGGTCTCTGCAGTTCCTCCGAGCTAAATGTATTCTTCAATTGGAAAGAGTACTTATATATTAGCTCACCAGATTTTCTTCTTCCAGGAAATGGTTGCTTTGATGCACACTACACCACAAGCATACCCTTGGGTCCCCAAAGTCCACCATTTAGTCTTTAGCATTTTTAAATAACTTTAGATCTGTAACTTTAAAACACATAACACTATTGTTTTAAAACAGTGCACCAGCATTGAAGTTACCTAGTTAGGGTAATGAAAGGCCTGCAAGAAAACAACCAAGCTCGGAGAGCACCAAGGACCCCTCGTGTCAACCCTAAGCTACAAATATTCTCCTTTTATTGGTAAAGCAGTGCAGCCTACAATAGGCAGGAGGAGAAAGCACTCCTCCGACAATGGGGAGGAACAATGAGCAAACTATGCACTAACCATAATACATATTAGGAATTTCTCGAGGGAAATACTTCTGCATTTTCTGCAGACAAAACTTGGCTGGCCCTTGGAACACAGCGATTCCCAAGTCGCGAAATAGGTTACCGTAGCCCATACAGCCTTTCTACGGGAAGGGGATCGCTGGGACAGAAAGTAATCAGGGTCAAACGTAAACCTGTTCACTTACCTGCTGGAAGCCGAAATAGGCAGGGAGGGCCTTGCACGAAGCCAGCCGCCCCACCAAACACTGGGCGACCAGGCTACGGTAGCTCCCGGGATCCCCGTCCTGCACGAGAGGCTGCGGTTGGCCGGTTGCAAGAGTTCGCATCTGCAGGCGCCGCACAAAGACTTCCAGCGGCAGCACTTCTGCGTAAAAGCAGCGCAGCAGCTCCCGCGCAGCTCTCCATCGCCGGGATCGGTCCATGCAGGAGCCGAAAGAAGCTTATACACGGAAGCTGAAAAAGAGCACGTTTCCTGCGGTCCACTGAAACCCGACTCGCCTCCCTTATTGGCTCTTAAAGGTGCAACAAGCCACGCCCTTTAAGGCAGCCCGGGAAAAGTATCCGCCGCCGCTACTCTCGCCACCCTGGGTTTTTTTTGTGTGCAACGATTTCTGTAACACAGTGGTGGGGGTGTGATGCACACTCTGAATGCCAATATTTGAGTTTCTGCAATATGCCATGTAAGATTACATCAAACCCACAACAAATAAGAATTATAGGGACTGACATCCGAGGGCACCAAATTAGGAAAAGGGCGAGTGGACGTGGAGATAGTACTACATAAATAATTTAACTCATGGATGCGTAAAGCAGGAGTAGATGAGGTGGGAGGGGCTGATGTTAATAGTGGAATGTTCTTAGCGAGGTTTTAAATATGTTCAAAGCAACCTGGGGGAACCAGATCAGCGGATTCGCCGAGCACGTGCCAAACAGGACCAGTAAGCAAATACTTGACAAAGTTTCTGAAACCCGATATTCATTGGCCGCCGTATAAAAGAGGAAAACTTAGTGGGGGCTAAACACTGTGAGTGGATATAAAACGGCTGCCTAGAATGATTCAAGAAAAAGCAAAATAAGTAATACCACGATTCATATTTAGTAATACTCATAAACCACCCAACGTCCAACAGATTATTATCTGGGAATCCATGTAAGGAGTCTAAACTTTTAATTGTACTTCTCCAAGACAGAGGGAGATAATAGTGAATGAATCGGAGATTGTGTTATATTTTCTGCTTATTTAAAACAATTATTTGAGTAGTAAAAGTAGTAAAATAAAAAGTTTCTTCTGACATATTAACAAGAAAAAAGTCAAGGAAACTGTAGGCCCACTAAATAGAGAAGATGGCAAGGAAATTACAGGCAGAAAGAGCTGCTTAACTCATACTTTGCATCAGTCTTCACACAGAAGAAACTAGCCCAACATACCCCAAAAAAAACCCACTGGAAAAGACATACTAGAAACAAAAATTAAAATAAGCAAGAAAATGGTAAGAGAACACCTATCCAACCTTGACAAATATAAATCATTGGGACCCGACAGATTACATCCCAGAGTTCTGAAAGAGCTGGCAGATGTTATCTCAGAACCATTACACCACATCTTTCATAAATCCTGGAGCACTGGGGAAGTACCTGAGGATTGGAAAAGGGCTGTGATCCCCATCTTCAAGAAGGGGAAAAAAACAAACCCAGGAAACTACAGACCAATCAGTTTAACATCAATACCTGTGAAGATCCTAGAAAAGATAATCAAAAAACAGATCTGCGAACAACTAGAAGCAAACAAAGTCATAACTAGTAGCCAGCACGGGTTTGTTAAAAACAGATCATGCCAAACCAATCTTATCTCATTCTTCTATAAAGTGACCAAACTAGTAGACCAGCGAAACACAGTGGACATAGCATACTTAGATTTTAGTAAGGCATTTGACAAAGTAGACCACAACCTACTCCTTGGTAAGCTAGGAAAAGGTGGAATAGGCAACATCACCACCAGATGGATCTGGTGGTGGCTGATGAACTATACTCAATGAGTAGTCCTCAATGGCACTACATCCACATGGAGAGAAGTAAGCAGTAGAGTACCACAAGGTTCTGTCTTAGGCCCAGTACTCTTCAATATCTTCATAAATGACTTAGATGAGGGAATTAAAGGAGAACTCATCAAATCTGCAGATGACACCAAACTGACAGGAATATCCAACATCCTAGAAGACAAACTCAGGATCCAAAAAGATCTTGACAAACTTGAACAATGGGCTGTATCCAATATAATGAGTTTCAGTGTGGAGAAAAGCAAATTCTTACATTTAGGCAGGAAAAACCAAAGGTACAAATACAGATTGGGCGAGACCTGGCTTAAAAACAGTAACTGTGAAAGGGACCTTGGAGTCCTAGTGGACGATCACTTGACTATGAGCCAGCAGTGTGCAGCAGCAACCAAAAAAGCTAATACAGCCCTGGGTTGTATAAGCAGAGGCATAGAATCAAGATCACGTGAAGTATTAGTACTGCTTTATAAAACCCTAGTAAGACCATACCTAGAATATTGCAGCCAATTTTGGTCACCGTATCACAAAAAAGATGTTGAGAGTTTGGAAAAAATTCAAGAGAAGAGCAACAAAGATGATCAAAGGCCTGGAGACTAAAACATACGAAGACTGGCTACAGGACTTGTGTTTGGCTAGTCTAAAGAAAAGAATAAATAGGGGAGACATGATAGCCGTGTTCCAATATCTGAGAGGCTGCCACAAGGCAGAGGGGGCCGGGTTGTTCACTAAAGCACCAGAGGAAAGGACAAGAAACAATGGTTGGAAACTGATCAAAGAGAGAAGCAACCTGGAATTGAGAACCTTCCTGACAGTGAGGACAATCAACCAGTGGAACAGCTTACCCCCAGAAATCATGGGCACTCCATCACTCGATATTTTTAAGAAGAGACTAAACATTCACCTAAGACAATATAGGTTCTCTTGCTTGAGCAGGGGGCTGGACTAGAAGACCTCCAAGGTCCCCTCCAGATTCTATTCTATTCTATTCTATTCCAATTATTTCCTAGGCAGGTAAGTTTCATCAAATTTAACTGGCTATAAAATGTAGGTACATGCAAAACATCAAATCTTTCTCGGTTCTTTTGCATTGTGACCTAGCTGAATTGTAGCTTTCATTAACTTCAAGGAATTAGGAACTTTTTCAGAGAATACCAAAGACCAAGGGATACTTCCTTGGTTTTTCTTTCACAGCTCTTTAAGCAGTGATTTGGCAAGCTTAAGTAGCTTTCACTGCCCTTTTTACCAAAAACAAAAACCACCTACCCTCAGCTGCTGTGCAGAAGTACTGAAGCACATTTCTTCCTTTTGGAGAGCTGGTGGGGTGGTTTAGACCCGTATTTCCTGTTCTTGGTCCTAAGGCCATCTCGATACTATCTTTTCAGCTTCAGTTTCTTCTATTTGTCAGGTGAGGGTACTGGTTATACATCAGTAACTTCCTTGCAAGGGGCAAGGTATAAACATTCAAGGCTTTGTGTATGTATGTGTGTAAATTCTAATAATTCATACAAGTGAACTGTGCCTCACATCTCTGTAGCCATTACCCAGATTTTAGTATACATATTAAGGGGACCCATATGGTAGGTGCCATGATGAAAAAGCAGCATCTTGCTTCTCCTATTTAGGCAATGCTATTTATAATTCTCCCATCCTTGACACATTATTTGCAAATCAGAATGACTGTCCAGAGCAGGGGTCCTCAACCTTGGCAACTTTAAGACTTGTGGACTTCAACTCCCAGAATTCCTCAGCCAGCTTTGCTGGCTGAGGAATTCTGGGAGTTGAAGTCCACAAGTCTTAAAGTTGCCAAGGTTGAGGACCCCTGGTCCAGAGGCTGCTACTTCCCATCTTCTAGGAAAGTCCAACTTTCAATTGCTCCCTGAAATGCATTTCCAAATCAAAGGTAATGTGTGAAATTTCCACTAAATCGATTCTTCTCAGCAGTATAATCATAATCTGAGGTTGAGAAATACCATATATGATGTGGATGTATGTGTTCATATATATATATATTATATTAACATTTATTTCTATACATTGTGGAGAAAACAAACATAATTGAGAGGATGAGAAGGTAACCAGATCTCTCTCATATTACCAATAACATTTCTAATTAAAATTCAAAACAAACTGTTTTCATGTAAATCACATAGTATTTGCATTGCAAGTCATTTAACCAAGCAATTATATTTTGTAGTTTCCAACATGAGCCAAATAAAATTGTATTAATAATTCTCTCAAGATATTTTATATAGCTGGAATCTTTAAAAAAATTGCATATGGGTGCATCATGACAATATTTCTTCCATTTAATAATTTAAATTCTGCTGTAGATAAATAAATAAAAGTAAAATTAGCAAAATGAAAGCTTGGGAGTTAATTGACACATGGTCAATGAATGTTGATCCAGGCTAAATTAGTGATACTTTAGTCCTATAATCAATGTTAAATTAGTCACTATTTATTTGCTCTATTAATCTGAGTGGGATTGAATATAATAACTACTTTAGACTGGAATCAACTCATTTTCAGTAAACAATCCTAATGATCTAAAACCTGATATTATCTTGAGAACTAAGTGCCAGTAGATTTCTGGAACTCTAGTGTGAAAATACACATGCATATTGAGCAGTATTGAAAGCAAAACCTTTTGGCAATAAAGTTACTACAGTATTAAGCATACTCAAATCTCATTCAAGTCAGTGGCCTTAAGCATGCACAGCTAGGCACAAAATGGGAGCCCTATCTCCTCTCCCCCACCATTTCTTAATGTGGAATACATGACCTCACAGGAACTCTGACTGTTCTCCAGTGTTCTGTATTTGAAAAGTAAAAGGCAATTCCATAGATTAGATGTAACAATTGTATGGGAGTCAATGGGGATTGGTCTTGGAAAAAAAACCAAAACACAGCAGTTCTATTAAAATTCATGCCACAATCTAAATGGTTTTTTAAACTTGCATTTTGAGCATGCTTAAAATATATTTCACATGAAATATAAACATTATTTGATTAATAAACATAGCATCCCAATTTATAAAAAGGCTCATCATAAAAAATTTAAGCCCCTGCACCAAAACAAAACATGGCAATTGGGCAGTTACAATTACCTTACCAGTAGAGTTTGAACTGATTTTCCTTTATGAATTTTTCTTGAGATCTTTATTTTCTACCTGCCTTTTGCTTCAGACCACTCTTCATTATGGTTTATATTATTATAGAATGAAAAAGGTCTACAGTCTCCCTGCCGAAGTATCATTGGCACAATAGTGTGTCATGCAATTATGTATTTACATTCTTCTAAAAACATGTTTTTGACTGAAAATGTAATGACTTCATCTTAGAAAAAAGATCCTATTTAGTGGAATCAG